TATTGAAAATTTGTAAAAGGTTTTGTTACAATTGCAAAACCATTACATAACCTTATGAAAAGAATTATTAAATTTGAATAGAAACCCAAACATCAACTCATATTCAACTCATCGAAAGAACGGCTAACTTTGGTCCCGATAATGACCTACTTGGACTTCTCAAAATAATTTATATTAGCTACTGATGTATCTGAATGGGAAATTGGAGCTGTGCTCTTTTAGAAGGATACAGAAAATCTTGAATACTCTATTGCTTATGCCAGTCATCTTCTGTCATCTCCCGAACTAAACTATATCATATTCGAAAAAGAATGTTTCACTACAATATAGGCTGTATGATATTTTGAACATTACTTACATGGCCCCAAGTTTGATTTGTATACGGATAACTCTGCTTTAACATGATTAAAGAATCATCCACAACCTAAAGAAAGAGTTGTTAGATAGATTTTTGAATTATCTGAGTATAATTATGAACTTATTCATAAGTAAGAAAGGCTTAATGCCAATGCAAACACTTTTCTCTAGAATAACAAAATAAGATTAAAAAATATTACAGAATTCAGATATTAATAAAAATACAAAATCTCAAAATTTTTTGAAATGGATGTAGACACTTATAATCAATTAACAGAGTATTTAATAAATTATACTTTTCCACCAAATGACACTAATAAATAATGACGAAAGTTACGACAACAAGCAAATCATTATATAGTTCAAGATAATATTTTATATAAACAAAATAAAGAAGGTGATCCTTTAAGAGTAATAACAAAAGAAAACGTAACAAAAATATTATATAATATACACAATGTACCAAATGCTGAGCATTTCAGAATAAAAGCTACTATAGATAAAATGAAACAACAATATTTTTGGCTGACAATAGGTGAAGACATATGAAATTATATAAAGACATGTGATATTTGTCAAAGACAGTGTAAACCTAAACAGACTGAAGTACTATGACCTATTGGAGTAGAACAAGTTTTTGATCAATTAAGGATAGATATCATAAGTCCGTTGAAGCTAACAAAAATGGATAAAAGATATATAGTGGTAACTATAGATTATTTTATCAAATGGCCAAAGCCAAAGCTATTGAAAAAGCAGATACGAAAACTATCACTTGGTTTCTGTATGACAAAATTATATGTAGGCATAGCTGTTTAAGAGAAATACTATCTAATAGAGGAACAGTATTTGTTAGTCAAACAGTGACTGACTTAATAGAAATAATGGGAACTCATTGTAGACTTATATCTGTTTACCATCCTCAAAGTAATGGGCTAACAGAATGGTTTAATTAAACACTTTGTAAAACTTTAAAGAAATGTGTAAAAGAAACAACACAAGAATGGGAAGCAATTGATAGCTTCAGCACTTTTTGCATACTGGACGACTAAGAATAGAACAACAAAATATGAACCATTTTATTTACTATATGGATAAGTTTCCACATTGCCAATAGAACTTGATATTATTACTTGGCCAGTTGAAGAAATTAGTAAAAGACAATTTAAAGAAATAATTTGTAAAAGAACAAGTGAAGTTGCGGGAATATTCGAAGATAATTAAATTAATGTATCTAAGAATATCAAAGATGCGCAGAAACGACAAAAGACAACTCATGATAGGAAAATTTGAACAATGACATACAAAATTGATGATATGACATTAGAGTACAGATCTGATTTACAGAATGTTCATGGTGATAAGTTTCAAGACAGATGGTTTGGTCCTTTCTTTATTTATAGAATTCTTGATAATGGCTCCTACATATTAAGAACTAATAGTGGAGAAGTTTTCAGTAGTCGATCTGTATATGGCAATTGATTGAAATCATATAAACAAAGGGGTTATTATCCCACGTGAGATAATGGTTATATAATAAAAAAATTCATAAGCTGCGAAAATTCCTGAAAATTTTTATCAAAAAAATTTTTTTTAAGATAAATAATATTTTAATTTCAAATGGTTTACGGAAGAGAGTTCATGAATTACGTAAAGAATTTTTGCAAGTTTTAGGTGAAATGCAAATTATTATAGATAATACTGGTGTATATTTGATAACAGAAAATGTCATAATGGAAATTAATCAACCTACTAATAATGAAATTATAACACAGTATAATGATACATTAATGATTTTTGTGACAGATATTTTTACGACCCTAGAAGAACCAGATCAAGCTATTGATCATAATTTGAATGTTCTTTTGCGAGATGTTACAGATATACATGGTACAAATGGCCAAAGAATAAATATATATAAGAAGCTTGGTGATTATTTGAAAGATGCTTTATTAAAAAGTAATGTGATGGTGTTGAAAAGAGAATTACATGAATGATCTCATCAAAATGGATCACGAATTTATCAAATAGCAACACGAGTACAATCATTATTCCAGAAGATAGGAACACCATATGCCAGAAATTTTTGAAATTATATACCAAATTGGATCTATAAGCTACCTAAATCGGAGTTCGAAAGGTTTCTGTAACTATGTAAAACAATGGGTGCACAATTAATAGAAGATCTTTTAGAAATGGATATTGGGTCACAGGAGCTTCCCTTTAAAAGAGAAAATATTTGTGGCGATTGAAATTGGTAATTAGGTGAAATGTCACAGGGGATGATAAATCGTGTTACTAGATGAACATTCAAGTAATTGTTATCTCACGTGAGATGACCGTACGAGGATAAAGGATGAAATATGAAGATAACTGTACAAGGATTAAGGATGACTGTATCAGGATGAAGGATTAAGTACGAAGATGAGTAGGATAAAGTGTAAACAAAAGAAAAAGTATAAATATGACTGTTGTCAGGTATAAGTTTAAGAAGAGAGTGATAAGAATTTATTAATGGTTATTAGTTAATTAATTATTACTTAATATTACAGAATATATTGAAAATCTTAATTATTATTAGATAGAAAAGTAAACTTACTTCAGGGACGGTAAAATAGACATCCTAACACATGATAATATTTCTGTCACTGAATTATACTTTACTTTTAAAAACTTTATATTTTATATTTTAATAAACTTATATCTTGTGCCATAATATTATAAATATTATTAAATATTGTTTGATACTATATTAACTACTTCTATTTCACCATACTTACTGTGTTTTCATGATTAATTGATTAATTATTTGATTATTATTATTGTTTATTATATATTTATTATTTGTTTCAAGATAGGCCAGTTAATCGATTGTATTAACTATGACCTACTGGCAGATAGAGTATATTATTATATTTGTGTGATGCAAACTTTGAGACTGATTTAAGAAATTGTTTGAAATACTCTATACAGTGGTGACAATATAATAATATTTCTGTCGCTGAAATATACTTCACTTTTAAAAACTTTATATTTTATATTTTTAATAAACTTATATCTTTTGTCATAATATTGCAAAATGTTATCAAATATTGTTTGATACTGTGTTAATTGCTTTTACTCCACCTTACTCATTGTGCCTTCATGATTAATTAATTATTATTTGATTATTATTATTATTTATTATATATTTATTATCTGTTTTGAGATAGTCCAGTTAAATCAATTGTATAAGCTGTAACCTACTGGCAAATAGAGTTTATTATTATGTTTGTGTGATGCAAACTTTGAGACTGATTTGAGAAATTATTTGAAATACTCTGCACAAGTGTGACAATATAATTATAATTATACTTATTTTTAATTTTATATATAATTCTATTACAGCAGAATTACAGTATTACAATATAATTACAATATTATAATATAATTACAACATTACAACATAATTACAACATTGCAACATAATTGCATAATTATGCCATTGTGACATAATTATGACATTGCGAATTGTTGCAACTCCATAGTTTTTACTCTTGTCTCAATACTTCAATTCTATCAGGTATCACTAACATACAAGATGGTAGTATATAGTAAGTAGTTAGAATATTTTTTTTTATAAAATTAAAAAACAGATATTTTTTTAAAAACAACCTATGTATTGCAACATAAAAATATTAAATAGACAAATATATTTTTAATATTTTCTAATTAATTTACAATAAATTTTATATTAATATAAGTATAGACTAAGGCTATTTAATAAATATAAAATTATTCTAATGGGATTTATATTTCCTAAGTTATATTAATTTGTATTTTTTTGTAGGTCAGTATATATAAATTAATTTTAAATGTTTTTACAAAAATTAACTCATATTATATTGCAATCTTTTATAGACATTGATATGTATTTGAATATTAAAAAATTAAAACAAAGAAATAAGGATTACTTAAAAACAAATGATCCCAAATTTCTTACAAATGTTTAAGAATAAATGAGATCATACATTTCAAAAAAGAATTCATGGAAAGATAATAATTTACTTTATATTAGATGTTAAATGACATTTAAAGAAATATAACATTAAATAACATTTTATAAAATTTATGCTAATGAATCATTGATCAATGAGAGGCAATATGGTTGCCAAAATTAAAAAAGTCAATATTTTGTACCTTTGGTGAAGATTCATTATCAAGTCTTAATAATAATGCTACATAAATTTTTTGATCATCCAGATGAATTCTTTGATTGAAAATACATTAAACTGAATATTTTTTTATTTCCATATATGAAATAGATATCTCAAAAATATTAAAAAGACAAAATACCTCAAAAATCAGAAATCAATTTTGGGAATATGTATAGTATTGAAACTTTATCCATTATTAAATTTGTCTACTAACCTAGCATGACTAATAGCTTATTATTTGAAAAATAATTTTATTATAAATGATGATGTAATAATGAATAACAGAATAGAAAGTATTACAATTTTGATATTATATATAAAGAATTTTTTATGAAAGTTATTAAAGTTATTAATATTGTTATAATTTTTAATATTTTAAGAAAAACTTTTGTTTGCTTTGCAACCATTTAATCAATATTTATTTATTATAAAATGTTTATTAATAGTCTATAGACGTAATTTGTCTGTATTCCACATTAATGATAAATATAATACTTTGTCATATGCTTCTATCTTATCAAATCCAGCATTTTCTATTCTAACTGTAGATTGCTTATTGATTCTATGGATTAATGTCTTTTGTGATTTGTCCTTTGGAAGTCTTAAATCAATTTGATTTTTAAATGATATTTTTTTGAAAGAAGGTTGACAATAATAGTTCTTGACATTTTAACAGCTTGAAGTTTTACAACAATGATGATTTTATTATCTTCATCATAAATTATTAATATTGTTTGTCTGGTAATTTATTTTCTATTTTAGTTAACAAAAATAGGAAAGTAATGAAGTCATAGCTACTAAACTATTACTATAATCCTGATCATTACAAAATTATTTTTATTAAATAATATCTATATTATATTAATATTGCATTTATTAATTAATAAAAAATCAGATAATGAATAACCAGTGACAGTGTTACGAATCACTCATACACCTAATCTAGTAATTATTATATTTTTACAAGATATATTAATTTTCTAATTTTTGTGAAATTTGTGAATAGTCAAAATTATTATTGCTATCAGATATCTACTAGTTTCACTCACACTCATATTAATATAGTTCATACAATATTAGAAATCTTCATTATCTGATTAGAAATAAAAATTAATTTAGGATTTTTTGCCTGCTTTCAAATATGAACTTTTCAAAGATTTGAATATTCCAATCTTTAAAATTAGGTACATTCACAGGTATACTTAATAATTTGCAATATTAAGTATCATATAACTGAACATTTTCATTATTTTTTTTGACTAAATGAATTGGATCTAGCAAATATCATTTTATCTTTTAATATAAAAGAACTTATAGACAGCTTTGCTCTTATGATCTTTTAATAATTTTTTAGTATAACTTGATTTAGTAGGTGATATAATGTGAATACTTAAATGGACCCTCCTGCTATTTAGACAGTTTAAACTTACAAATATACAGTTATTCCAGAATTGTGTCAATTTCTTAAAGGTTTGAGTTCAATAAATGATTTAAGTAAATTTTGAGTAGTTTTTATACTTGTGCACTATAAGCAAAATGATGATTTTATCATAATTTAATTATATGGAACTTCTTATTTATTTTTATGTAATTTTGGAGCTTCATGTTAATTGTCTCTGAATTTTTACATGTCCAAGCATTGTATAAAACTTTTGGTATGAACATTGCTACAAAATCCAGTTGAGTATATAATTTATAGCAATTTTTTTTAATAATAATTCATGCTTGATGAAAAATCCAAAATATTTAAAAAGATTATTTTAATTTTCCAGTATCAAAGTATTTAGTATTCAAGTAATCTTCTCCAAGCTTGATGCTACAGAAGATCAACATAATTGGCAATAACTGACATAGCACTAGTCAAATATGAATGAAGCACTGTACTGAATGGTGATTCCTATATTAAAAATTGGAATTCCTATACTATAGATTAGCTGAAAATCAGTAAAAATCAACTGTCCTATATTATAAATTAGCTAAAATTGGAATTCCTTTTTGGTATGGCATATCTTTTGTATTTGACTTGTTGTATATTTTAAGAAGCTTTTATTCTTGTGCACCATAAGCAAAAATGATAATTAGATTATTAATTTGATTGTGTGAAACTTCTTATTTATTTTTTATATAATTGTTTCATTATGATATTTGTCTATTTTAGATTAAAGTTTTCCTAGAAATGCTGTTTCTCATATGTTAATTGTCTTTGAATGTTTATATGTCCAAGTATATCATAAAACTTTTGACATAAATATTGCTACAAAATCCAGTTGAGCATATAATTTGTAGAAATATTTTTTTATAATAATTTATTCTTCGTGAAAAAAATACTGTTGGCTGTAGTTTGTCACAAAGACTTTATTAATAATTTATTTCTAATATTGAATTCAGAATTCAAAATATAAAGTTCAATGTTAGAAAAAACCTAGCCTTTATATACAGTATATTGTTATTTTTGTCAGTATTCATGTCTGTATCTTTGTCATTATTATTGTCAGTCTTTATGACAGTACTATTGTCAATACTCTTGCCATGTTCATATCAGTGTTCATGTCTACACTACAGACTTACATTAGTTAGACTAGTTAAACAAACTATTTTAGAAATAAACTATAATTTATATTAAATGACAAAATTGATTTACAAATAACTAATAACTATAATACTAATGAATAATAAATATAATAATACTAAATAAAATAATAATAAAAATATCAATAAAATAAGTAATCTGAAGGAAAAAAATAGCAAGATTATTTAAAAAGATTGTTTTGATTTGCCAATGTAAAACCACTAAAGAATTTTGCACTCAAGTAATCTTCTCCAAGCTTAATGCCACAAAAGATCAATATTATCATTTATTTAACTTTTAATAAAATTGTTTATTATAAGAAAAATGGAAAAAGCATTTATCTTGATTTATTCTATTTAGCTTTAAATTTATAATTAATCAATTCAATCATACTTTTTTTCAAAAAATATTAGAGTTATAAGTCATCTCCTCTTTTCTGAATAAATAAAAACATGAATTTTGATTTCAATACAATCATATCTTCACAAAATTCAATTCATATGTCATGTAATAAGTTTTTTTTCTGTTAACTTTTTACTAAATGATTATTCTATAATAATATTTGAAATCTATATTTTATTTTCAAATTTATACAAATGTTTCTGGTGAAACACAATCAAATATTCTTTTTTACTGTCTTTTTTTGATACCAATTTATTAAAAAAGCAGTTTGTATAAGTTTCTCTTGGTCAATCAGAGAAAGGCTTTACTGATAACATCTTGCTTCTGAATTTCTTAATATCTATTTCACTTGATTTATCTACTTCATCTACATTGTAGGTATCATTTACAATGCTGAGCATAAAATTCATTATTGTTCAAAATTTGATTTGAAGTAACAACTTGAAATTCTATAAATAAACAATATTTTGTTATAAAAATTACAATGTTTAATATAAGCCATTTGTACACGACTCAAGAAATTTTAGCATAATCTGGTGACCATATTCTAATATAATAGACAAAATAATTATTTTCTATCTATTTTGAAATAGAATCTGATCTGATGATTGATTTGGCCACCACATAGTATGTTTAGAAGATTCATAATCTTATACTAATTTTCATTTCATGAAATTCTATAAGCTTTCTATAGTTAGCATGCTTTTTTAAAGTGCATAGATAAATACTTTTGACATCACCGTTTTTAGATTTATTAAATAAAATTATTTCTTTTTTGAAATTATTCTAATCATTAATATGAATTAAATGTATTTTATTAAAATTTTCACAAGCTTTTTTTAAATAACTTTGTTATGATAATTCTATTAACAGCTGTAAATTTTTTACTTCATCAAAGTTGTACTTGAGGCTTAACCAATTGCAATAGTTTTTTCTTGACCCTCTTTTTTATTGTTTTGCAATTTTGAAGTGATCTTTTATGTGATCTCTTATCTTTTTCTTATTTTATCATTTATATTTGTGTAACATTTATTATTTACATATTTTTTATATTTTATTATATTTTATTTATGTATCATATGCCTGATACTTAATTCAGATTTGGATGACCTAAGTTTATTTATTATATTAATCATTTATATATGTTACTACATATTTTATATTTATTCACAAGAGGGCAAAAATAAAGAAAGACAGGTATCATTGACCTGTTATTAATTTAGAGTTGTTTAGTTTCTCACTTGATATTTCAAGTGTATTAATTCTTACATCTTTGACATGTATTTATTTTTACATTAACAAACTAATGAATTCTATCAATCTACTTAGCATAATTAATAGTTCCAGAGTCACTTTTGTTATTTATAAAAGTGCCAACAGACTTTGTAAAAATCATGTTTACTGTTATTTATAACTTCCCAAAAGTTTTTTGCATTTCCTCAAATTGTAATCTTTTGTTGAGATAGAGTGAACATATTTCCTCAGATAAATAATCAATTTTATTTAGTTAATTTAAATAAAATATTTGATTATTTTTTTTTGTTGCATGAAATTGTATAAAAATGCAATCACTTTCTCTTAAGTTACAAATCATTATGCCATAGCATAAATATACTTTTGATTCTTTTTTTTTAAAAAAAATAATTTCTATATAAATATATGTATTCATTAACTAATTACAATGTGTACCACTTTTATACTCTGAAAAAATTTACAATTTTCTTGTTTTTATTTTAGTTTTATTATTGTCCATTAAATTTAATTGAATTTTTTGATTTTCTTGAATTTAATATTTAAAACTAAGATATAATTTTTTTTTAGTTTACCTCACTTAATTTGTTTTTTCTCAATTCTTTTATTAAAGTATATTTATTTAACTTCACATAAAAAAGTTAATCTATGTACTTTCAGATTTCATCAAATTTTCTTCTCATTTAATGTTAAGTCTAGATTCTTCAGTTACAAATATTTCTACACTATTATAGTTAGCTTTTTCTTATTAATTAAAATATTTATTTATTTGTAATTTAATTTATTTTTTATAAATAAGATATATGAACTTTTTTGAAAATACAATTTTTGAAATTTCAAGTTTGAATTAATTTGTCAAATATTTCTAGAAAATTTAAGTGTGATTATTAATGATATTACATCTGGAATAGGATAGAAAAGAATTAAAATTTAAATTGATTTATAATTTTTCTTTGTTTTTATTTTAGTTTAATATTTAAAGTTAAAATATAAATTTTTTTTTAGTTTATCTTATTTAATTAATATTTTATTTTTTTTTTAATTCTTTTTATATTAATCTATGTAATTATCAGACTTCATTAATTTTCTTTTCATGTAATGAATTATTTTGAAAATGTAATTTCATGAAATTTCAAATTTGAATTAATTTGTCAAATATTTATAGAAAACTCAAGTGTGATTATTAATGTGATTATTTATTATTAATGTGATTTCATAATTATCCATACATGATATAAATTTTGGATATGTCATAAAAGAATTAAATTCAAAAATGATGTACAATTTTTTTGTTGTTACTTTAATTTTGTTATCCAAAACTATTAATTTAATTGAATTCATAAATTTTCTTGAATGTAATATTTAAAGTTAAAATATGAATTTTTTTCCAGTTTTCCTCATTTAATTTATTTATCATATCTTTTTTTTCAATCCTTTTATTAAAGTTATTTATTTAAATTAATCAAAAAAAATTAATCTACGCATTTGACAAAGTATTGATTCATCTAATTTCTTTTCATTTAATCATAAGTTTAGTCTAGATTGTCAGTCATAAATATTTCTACAATATTATAGTTTGTTTTCTTTTTATTGAAAATGTTTATTTATAATTTAATTTATTTTTATAAATATGATTATATGAACTATTTTAAAAATATAAGTTCACAAAATTTCAATAGTAAATAATTGAATTTAAAAAAGTTATACATTTTTTTGTTTTATTTTAGATTTGTTGTTCCAAAGCTAAATTAAATTTAATGAATTCTTAAATTACCTCAAATCAGAAATTTAAAGCTAAGATATAAATTTATTTCTTTAAATTTTTGAAATTTTAAAATTAGAAAATATCCCTTAAAAAGTTTGATATTTTAAAGTATACTTATTTCTCTAGTTTTCCTCATTTAATTTATATTTTTTCTTCAATTCTTTTTATTAAAGTATATTTATTTAACTTCATCAAAAAAGAACATTAATCTATATATTTTTATTAAATATTTATTTGTAATTTAAAATATTTTTTGTAAATAAGATTACATGGTTCATAAAATTTCAAGTTTGTATTAATTTGCCAAATATTTATAGAAAATTTATTGTGATTATTAATATGATTTCATAATTATCCATGACATCTGGATTATATTTGCATGCAAAATTATTTAGGGATCCAAATTTGCAATTTCAGAGAAAAAAGTCAAAACAGTTTTTCATAGAAGATAAATTTATTTTACTTAAAACCCAAAATTTTTTGACTACCCAGATAAATTTCTTGATTAAAGATATATATAACTAGGTATTTTTTCACTTCCATATAGAATAGATTCTGAGTAAATCTCAAAAAAATGAAATACTCCAAAAATCAGTAATCAATTTTGGGAGCATGTATAAACTGAAATACATATAAAGATTTGCATCTCATATTCAATTATCAGATTTTATGTATGCAATGTATTAACCAATCATTAAAGTTTATAAGTTTATTCAGAACATTAAAAAAAAATGAAATAAAATAAAAATGTTTATCTATATCTTTATTATTATTAAAGAAATTTTTATTCATTCTTTATAATTTAAATTTTAAATTAAAATATTTGATCCTGCACATTTAAATTAGAAAATAATTATAACTAATATTCATATTTATAATGAAACCAAAATAATTAAATATTCTTTAAATATAAAATTTGTTTTAATACACATAAAGAATTTATTCAATTATAAATCTAGTTATGATAATGAAACTAAAAATTAATAGTTATTATAAACGAGTAATTAATTTAATAATTTTTCACTTTTATACCAACAAGTTGTCAGCTAAAATAAGTAATCAAGATCAGAGGAATTATAATCACTAGTTTAAATTGATAAATAGCAGATCTTTTAATTTGTCATAATCTATAAACTAATTGAAAATTACCTGAGAAAAATGTTCTATTAGTATTTATTTGACCATTCTCGAACTTTCATGAATTAAAATTATATCTATTTCATAAAGAGTCAAGAAAGAAATGTTTAGAGAAAAATTATAAAAGGAAGCTTTAATAAATAAAGATTGCATTTTATATCTGATATGAAATATATATATATAAAATTAATATTCTATTAGAGTTATAATTTAATTTTCTATTAACTTATTGAATAATTAATAATCATTATTATTAAATCAGTTTTTTTTTTTTAATTTATTCAAGTAATTGTACATTATTTTTATTTCTATTTTATGCTTTAATAATTTTTATACTTTTAAAGAATAAATAAAGAATAAAATTCTATCAAATCTATTAATAAAAAATATTCTCATTGACTATTTTACAAATGATAACTCTGCCAAAATTTTTTTTAAAAAATATATAAGCATGTAGCTATAAATATAAAAAAAGCACGTTTGTCACTGCTGGTGATAGTTACCGTTGGGCAAAATTAACAAATTTAGGATTAGGATTAGGATCAGGGAATTATGTAATTTGTCCAGTGGTAACAATTACAACTGGTGACAATCACCACTGGTGACAAATTGATTTACTCATAAATATATATCATAATTATGATATAATATTTATAATCACTTTGTTTTTGAATTCTTTTTCATCTTTTAATTTTAGTCATTTAGAAAATTTTGAAATAAACAAATTTTTCATATAGCTGATATAATAATTGAATCACTTTTCACTTTTGTCTTTTTTTATCACCTCTACCTTTCATAAAATTATAAAATTCTTAATAATGTTTTAAACTTAACCATAGCATTAATATATATAATGAGAATCACATTAGTTTTTAATTCTAATTAATTGAAAAGAATTTTTGCATATAAATTTTGAGCTTATAATGCATATTTGAATAACATTGGTAATTTAATAACAAATCATCAAAAACTAATGCATAAAAATAGAATATTTTTCTATTTTTTAATTTATATATCCTAAATCTCAATAATGTTTCAAATATTTTCTGTTTTTAACAAAATAATTAAAAGCATGAAGATTTAAAAATCATTTGAATTATAGAATTAGCGTCAAACCTTCAAGAATCATCAAATAAGAAAGCAATTCTTGATTAATAAAATAATTACCACTATGAATTATTTCACAATAATTAATGTTGAACAAGTAATTGATTATATTTATTGAAAACCTTAAAACACGTATTGGACATCATAGCCTATACTGAGGGATCAGGTTAGGATTTTCAAGTAAAGTGTATTTATCATCATGCGTCACATCCTTAGAATATCAATTTTTATGCGAAAAGCATATCTGTCGGTCAATATTCTCACAAAATATTTATCACACGTGGAATAATTTCAATCACGTATCTATTATTAAATCATGTGTTTTATTTTTATTGGTTGTTAATCACACTGGTATTGAACACTACTGGTGTGTAATTAAACAATGTCAATATTTATAATTTAAATTAATTTTTTATTTATTTATTCATTTTTTTCTTGTTTAATTATATATATTTAGTGTAATTTTATTATCTTGAATTTTAGTTTTCCTGGATAATTTGTTTTCATCAATTATCTGCTTTTTTTGTGCCACAAAAAATAGCTATTTTTCAACTGTAACATAACTACATACTGATTAACATATCTTAGAACATTCATCATGAATAGATATAAAAAAACTACTTATACATCAAATCTTTTCTACTTCTAACAAGTTATTCAAATCCATATGGATCATTTTAAGATAAAATTATTTATGATATTTGTGATAGAATATCTAATACAGATATTGCAGCAAAAGTGAAAGATACTGAAGAAATTATTGATAGTTATAACCCTCTTGAATATATAATAGGAAAAACAAATACTATTCTAGTCAAGATAGATTTCATTTTCATTGAAAACTGAAAATTTAAAAAAATCAATTATAAGTAGGGTGAAAAATTTTGGTTTTGCTATTTATAATGGTCCAACCAGTTCATATTTTCAATTTAGCAATGCATTAAATTTATGTGGTAATTTAATAAACAGAAGAAGAACTTTTGCAGCACGCATGTTTTGAAAAATCAATTCGATCTGATGCAAATTGTTTCGCAATTGAAGTTTTCTAAGTTTCATCAAAGAAATATGAAATAATTCAAATATTAAAGTTAATACTTTCATTAAATATAAAAATTCAACACTATTTATTTTATTCTGTTTAATAAAAAGTTATTATTTTAAAATAATCATTATTTTATATAAACTAATTGAAGAGGTATCTTTTGGTTTGTATTTTCTTTTCTGTCAAAATTTTTAGATTAAGAGAATTAAGAGATTAATAATAACAAAAATGTGATATAATATATTTTATAAATATTATAATAATAATATTGTCATTCTATGAAAAATTTTTATAAAGTATTTAAACTCAAGAATATTATTTATATTAATTTTAGTGTCTAATATTCTGATGATAATCGGATGATTTTTCTTCTTCTAATAAATATAAACCAAATATAAGTTTTGTATTTTCTTTACAATTTACTTTTTTTAATTACATTAATTTACTTCATTTTGTTGTTGGTGATTAACAATATCACGTGTCTGATCACAAATTCAGCAAATAAAATTAATATTCTCATGTACTTATCAAGTGTTACAAAATTTATAAATTTTTATTAGCTGAATTCGAAGAAACAGGCACGTAATCTTGCTTAATGAGGATTTTTCTAGGCCTTCCCGTAGGGCTGCTGTTGAGTTTGTTGTTGGAGTCGAGTTCGTTAAGTTTGTTGAGCTCGTTTGTATTTAAATCGAGTAAGAAAATTATCAAAGAGTAATTTTAACTAAAGATTTTTTTATTTGAAATGCAATTCAAGCTATAATCATTTGAGCGAAATGATAGAATAAAAATGTTTTGTATAATTTTATTTTTTGAAGCGGATGAACGAAATTTTAACTTATTTCTAGAAAAATTAAAAACAAAATATATAAATATTAAACTTTGAAGATTTAATTATTAAAGAAATTTTAGATTATTTTTTCTATTATCATTCATTATTTAAAAAAAATGTATCCAAAATAATCTAGAAAATTGTAATAATCAATAATACTAAAACTTTTTTTTCGGTGCATAATTATTTATATTTTCTTTAGAATCATTAAATAGTAAACAAATATATATAAAATTCAAAATTTATGTCATTGGAAAGTGTAAACGAACTTAATTTCCATTACCATTACAAATTGTTTCATCATGATTGAACTGCAACTGTATATAAACTCAAGGTCTCACATTGCCAAAAGTATGTCTTGTGTTATTAGATTGAAGCTTTTTTGATCTGGGAAAATATATTTTTATCTCTTTTCGCATATTCATTAGATGACGTTACTCGAAATATTTTTGTTGATATTTAATTTCGGGAAATTTTCCCGTTTCAATTATAAAATTTGGTTGTAATTTTGTGCTTTGTCTAACGTTCACAACATCGTATGGCTTGTTTATTATATCTAATTTATTCGTAAAATACAACAAATAATTGTAGCAGTGACATTGTGAACGTATAAAAAATTTCTCAAAAAATATTAAAGTTGAACGTTAAAATTTATATACTGTATGTATTAAAATATCGTACCAAATTATAGATTGGTTTTCAAATCGATTAATAAAGCGTTAAATTAAGTAATTATTTATTATTATTAAAATATAATGATAGAATAAATTTAAAAAATAATATTATGCTTCTAAATTAAACTTCTCAAGACATTACTTATAACTGATTGCAAAATAATAAACAAATATATAATAATTTTAATAAACATTTGAATAATCATAATAATAACTCGAAATTCTAATAAAAGTTTCTGGAAATTCTTCGCTCATAAAATTTAATTTCTTTTTCTATTATCGTATCCGATTAGAAAATATCCTGCTACCAATGAATGAGGAGTTAATCAAAAAAATTGATAAAAAAAGTGTGTTAGGATGCGCTTTATGTTTAAGTTGCAGGCAATTCGATAAAACACTCAGAATAGAGAAATTCTTATAATGATCAAAAGGTGACAATTTATAAGAAAAGCTTTCATGTTTTAAAAGATGATTTGTAATTTCGATTAATTATTTTGTACAGTTATAATATGCATGTATTTTGGTTGAACATATTATTATTATTCGTGATTTTCATATTCATCATTATAAAATTTTTAACGAACCGAACTTATAAAGTTACATTCGTTAACATCAAATTATTGGCATCATTCATGATTTTCTAAAAATTTTTTAGTTTTTTAATTTGAATTACAATCTTTATCGTATTTCTTCATATAATTCCATAAAAGTGGGTCTATGTGTCTGCTTTTTCTAAATGAAAAATAATGTCGAATATCTCCTTATTTCCTTGGTATTAATTATATTTTTATACAATGTAAAAAAATTACTTGTCCTAGATGCTTTATTCCTATTAATTGGTAAATAAATTAATAAATTATAATGAAGAACTAAATAAAAATAAATAATTAATAAATAAAATATAAACAATAAATAATAATTAAATAATATATACCATCTCTAAATTCTTTACGAGAAATGCTATCAGATCCAATCTTCCGGACTCTAATTTAAAATTAAAGTATAGAATGCAAATGATCTTGTGATGATATTATTGCATCATTTCATTTTCGATATTTAATTAGGAATTTAAATATTGCAAACTTAATAAATAAAATAAATAATAATAACAATAAAATAATAAACAAATTTAAAAATAAATTAAAATAATAAATAATAAAAAATAAATAAATCAAAGAATAAATAATAATAATAATAAATAAAAATACTCACAAAAAGCTTGCTCCAGCTCGAATAAAATTTTCAGCCGCTTTCTTATATTTTTGTTATTCATCATGAAGCAATAAACTTGAAGGAGTTGCTAATAAGAATTAAATATATTGTTGATAAATCCCGAAACAAATAATAGTCTTGTAATGTTGAAAGCTTAACCAAAAACCATCATCAGATAATAGCAAGGTAATTAATTAATTGAGATTGGAAATATAATAATTTATGTAAAATATTAGGATACTATTCAATTGTTGTCTAAGAAACCGGAAATTTTTTTAGGCGTATATCTCCGTAATATATACGATACCCACGTAGAAATAAATGTGTATATTTACGTAAAATATGCGGATCATATAATATACGTATTTCTACATGGGTATCGTATCATTACGGAGAAATACGCCCACAAAAATTTCCTGATGAAAGCCATGGAATAAGAAGATTATAAAGTAATAATTAATATACTTATCGTGATATTCGTAATGTTAAATGCTTGTTCATTTTATTAATTATGATTAATGATGATTATATTTTTACAGCTAAGTAAAGATTTTTGAATCCATAGATGAAATGTCATTACATAAATCTTTTCTTTTCTTTTCTTTCTTTTTTATTTCTTTCTTTTTCATCATACAAATAAATATAATATAATATAAATTCTCCCACTCTTCTTTCAAGAGTCTTTTAGAAGGTATAAAAATGTGTTATCAACAATTCAATTGTCTACCTAATCCTTTGAGACAATTAATCTATTGTTATTATTTTTTATATTCACATTCTAATTTTTCATTCTAGTTTGTTTTCTCTAACTATAAAGGCTTTTTCTAGTGTTTAAATCGACTTTTGATTTCCAATTCTATGTAATACGTTAGACATTACAAGATGCTTTGTTATGAAGAAGACATTTTTTTTATTTTTTTTATCTTTTGAAATTTTAAATTTAGTAAAAACACATATCGCATCAAGTGGTTCACGTGTGTAGTTTTTGCAAAATGGGGTATCTGCGCCCGCAGAATAGGTCTGTCAGGGGTAGTGTCCATTTTTATTAAATATCCTGAGGACTTAAGGCGTACAGAATAAGAGTCTACGCAAGGTTCGCGTCATATGATGAGCCAATCAATACGTTAATCTAGGTTCAGTCACTATTGGCTCATCTTGAATCACATGAGATACGTTTCCTCTGTTTCCTCTTCACTATTTGGGCTTAACTCTTACTATACAGGAATAACCAACGCTTCAAGGACTACTTCCAAACCGCCTTTCAAACTCTCCTAAACTTCTAAACCAAATGAAAGCAATTATTAAGGTGGCAAGAACTGGTAAAAAATCTTCCCAAGAATGGTATGGGGGCAAAAACTTGAGAAGTAAATATTCTGAATGGCAAAAGATTCGCGAGAGACAAATTATTTTCAATAGAAAAAAGAAGACATATAAATAAAAGTCAGTTTAAGAAGATTAGAAATATACGAAAAAAACAATAGAAAGTTTAGTAAACTCGTGAGAAATATTAGACTATAAAGAAAATAAACACGCGAAAACAATCCTATTTTTAAAAATATATTTCATAAACAAGCATTTTCTTCATGAAATTATGTTGTTTTATTGAAAAGGAAGCTCTTTTACGTTACTTTTATCTAAAACAAACATATTTTTATTTATTTGTTACTTTTCGTCAACTTTAATGGTGAAGATTTCCCTCTCAAGTCTCCTCTTGACTCCCTGCTCCTAAGGATGAATATTAAGCTGCAATTGACAAGTAAAGCAGCCAAATACACCGAAAAAGTCCACAAAGCAGCCTATGTATGAGCGAAACAAGTGCAACAAACAAGAAGATTGGGTAAAATAGTCTTGCGATCACCAAAACTGGCAAATCTCTACAAAGTTATTTACATAATACTATGTATAGTGTCATTGCAAACAAATTCAATCTTTGATTGTTTTTTATTATAGAAAGAAGGGTAAAGAAAAGATATTCTCCTTACATTTCCTTCCCGCTAAATGATAGGTAATATTAATTACATATAGAATTTATGATCTTATCATGTTAAATTTTATCAATAATATTTATCAAAAATCGATCAATATTATTTCCTATTTTTTAGCGACAAGCAAGTCCGTGAGGTAGAAGGTAAAATTAATAAGGCTTACATAAATAAGGGTAGGCGTTCTATATTGACTGAAAACAACGTAAGTTTGATTTTTTATAGAATATTCGATTAAAAAAAAATAATTTTTTTAAAGGTCAAGCTTAGACTCGATGAATAGCAATTTTCAATGAGGGCGTGGAGAAAAAGCCTTTCTTAATGACAAATATGAAAATATGCTTTGGGTCAAAAAGAGGATGAGCTTGTTGATGCCGGAAATGATGGATCAAGTAAGTATTGTTTTATTGTTTTCGATGACGATGATTAACATTTTAATAATTCTCAGAATTATTTAGCACAATTCATGCTCCGGAAGTTGACGACAAAGATGTTAGCGTCGTCAATACTGGATTGAAAAAGATGCCCACTACACCGAAGTGAAACTTTTCCAATGAGTTTGGTGGTTGAAACTAAAATATGGAAATCTTTTTTATGACTTGCTTACTAGTTATTAACAAATATATTAGTTATTTTTTACTAAATTGGATATATTAATGTAAGGGTAAGAAATAGATTTTTTAATTAAAAATCAAAAATTAAATTAATAACTTTAATTAATTGTAAATTTATAATTTATAATTTATAATTAAAATTTATAAATATAGAACAATTCCTACCCTTTAATCATATACGTAAAGCTAATCAGAATATAGACGCTGATTTGTCATTACCGGAATTTGTGGAAATCTTTAATTTCTTAAATTCGAAATTAAAAGCAGTCAAGAATCGTCATACTTATAAGGATATGGAGTAGAATTGACTTTAAAAAATGCAGATTATATTGTAATATTATAATGTATTGATCATAAAGTAGAAGCGAACAAAATATTCAATATAGACAATTTTATTATAATATTTAAACTTATCTTGATATCTCATAATTTGTAACTATCTTTTATTATTATTAAAAAATAGATAATGTAGATAAAGATAAAGAATCAATAAATAATTCCGAATCCTCTAATGATTAGTTATTCGAACAAAATGTTTCAAAGTTAAACCTCGCTGGTGATATTAAAAGTAAAGTTTATCAATATTTTTTTTTAATATATAATAATATATTTGACTTTTAGTTCGAGAGTCAAAACAGCGCAAGTTATATTGGATTCATAAGATCTATTGAAGACACTTAAACAATTATTCACATTATATGACTCAAGTACCATTAAGTTATTATTAGGACAGGAAATTGAAATGAATCAAGACCATTAATGTTTAGAATCAAATTTATTTTGGCTTAAAGAATCCTTTATCAGTTGATCTATTTAGGTAATTTTTAAATTAATACTTAATGCAGTTTTAATAGATGATTATATCTTTAAGTTTATTAAAATTATTATGTCGAGAACCTCAATTTATCATTTTTAAATCCTGGTTTAAATTCAGGTCAAGCGATAAGAATAATTTCGCCACCAATTATAGTCGAAACTCAAATAATATCTAGATTCTTCAAGAAACATTCTTGATAGTTGTATTTCTAAATGATATTGGAAAGGATTCGAGATATCCTTTTTGGACTAATCATATTTATGATGTAAATTATTATTTTTTTCTTGTCATTATTCATTTCATTTTTTTATATGTATGATATGTACATTTTAAAATATAGTATTATTTTTATTATTTCAATTTATATTATTAAATACTATTTGATATTCAGTTACTTCGTCCAGCATATCCATGACAATTACGAATGATTCACAAGATGTATCTTCAATCTCATTTATATTAGATCTTTCATCTCCTGAAAATCTAGATATCATAGCTGAACATGTAAATACTTTATATCACGAGGTATTCCTTGAAATTTAGTAACTGATATGTCAAATAAAAAATGAAATTATATTGAGATTTATTATTTAGTTATTTAATTGTACCATTTCAATGTAATAAATATTCTTTTAATTAGTATATTTTATTTTATTTGACAGATATTCGAAAATCATCAACAATACGAATTGAATTTTTACAAATCGTCGAACAAGAATTCTGTAAATTAATTATTAAATTTCAAACGAAACTAATTCTTTGTCAATTTACCACCTCGAAAATATACAAGTAGTTGAATGTACCGTTTCGATTGATAAGTTGCATACAAAATTAATAAAATTTCAGGGATGGATTTGAAAAGGATGCGTTGCGTTTAGGATTTATGTGATCAGAAAGTCGTTGCAAAAGTTAAAGATATAGGTGGGGTTTCAATCCTATTTTAATTTAAAACAAAAATATTCTTAAACTAATGAAAGTTTATTTTTTCCGAAGAAAAATAATTCAACCGTTTTCCAAATCCAACATCTATATATCATATAATGTATTTTTTTTTTTATTTGTTATATCATATTATGTATTTTTTTTTTGTATTTTTCATATAATATTATGTATTAATTTTCTATTTGTTATATTATACCTCTTATTTTTTACTTTAACAGTTAAAATATTTATTCATTTAATTTAAGTATTTATATATTATGGTAGAATCTGCGGTCACAAAAAAAGACTAAAAGGAAAACAATGAAATATAGATTTAGATATATATTCATCATCGTTACTAGCATCCATTATTATCATTATAAATATTATCGGATATTTCATTACAGTAGTTATGAATTATAATAGACACTTTTGGTTTTTGTATTCAAATTCATTATTTATTATCAAAAAAAAAATAGATATAAAATTGAAGTGTAAAATAAGAAATAAAAAAAATAGTAAAATAATATATTGGAAGAATAAAAAAAATATAATAAAGAAAATAAAATTATAAAATATGCTTAATTTTTAGTTGGAGGAATTGCTTCAATGATAGCGTTGTATAATTCATCCGTTGCTTTCGAATTAGATAGCTAAAGAAAATATAATAAAATAAAATATAATAAATATAATGAAAATATAATAAAGATAGAACTGCAAAATTACAAATTACAAACCTTAATTGCAAGATGAACGAGTTTATCACCTTCATATACGAACAATCTTACAAATTTATCTTGTTTTTCAACATGCATTCCGTTGAATAGTGTTATATTTAAAATCACTTTTAACGTATTTTCAGTGCGCATAACTATAAATTTATTAAATATTCATTAATAATATAATATTATTGGTAAATTAATTCAAAATTATTTTTAAAGTTTACCTAAACGCGGTGCTTTTACTGTACTTTTTGAAAAATTAAGTTTTAAAGAACCGACTCCTCTTTCTTTCCACTGCTCCTCCATACAAAATAATTTCACCCGAACTGTATGTAGTGTAACCTCATCCTCTTCCCCCGTTAATACTAAATAAAATTAATATGAAAAAATATTATTGTTATTATTATTATTTATCATTATATTATTGTCATTATGGTTATTAATGTTATTAATGTTTTTACCCTCTTGTTCTTTTAATAAATTTTTTTCATTATCGTTATTATTTTTTTTCTCTCCTTTATCGTCGTTCCCTTCCGAAGGTTTTTCATCGAAAATATTTTTTCTTTGTGAGCTTATCCTGGCAAACGAATTCCCAGAATATTTTGTTCCGAATCCAAATATTTTTTTATTTTGTGTTGAGGGAGGAGTCGTCTCAATTTTTCTCTTTTTGTTAGGTAGAGTTATTAAATCAGAAGGTGATAAAGGTCTGTCTCTTTTCATTTTTCGATTAAAATTTTTAATAAAATATAAATTTTATAGAAGGATTTTTAGAATTATTAGAGAAAGGTATAATAATGTGAAAAATTAATTGTGAAAAAAAAAAAAACGGAAAACGAATAAATCAACTCTTTTTATAATTATCGGATGCCTCCTATTTTTTACTTGGCATCTGATAGTTTTTTTAGTATCTTACAATAATAATACGTGAATCATATGCAATTATTAAAATTTTTTTCAATAAGATCATTATATTTCATTAATCTTTCTATTAATTCTTTCTTGTAAACTTAATTAGAAATATTCAGTTTACAATATTGCATGTTTGTTTAATCAGCCGATGATTGACATATCAGTATAGTATATTTTATTATTATATTATTATTATTAGTCATTATTATTGATTAATTATTAAAGAACCTTTCAACGTGTTTACAGCAGATATTACATAATTTATATTCTTATTATTAAAAAAATCCCGCCAAGAAATTAATATTTTTTAGACCAGTTATATCAAATATTGTTATTATTATTAAAAAAAGAACCCCAAAAAATATTTTTTAGACTGATAATTTCAAATATGGTAAAACCACTCATTATTCTTATTATTAAAAAACTCACCCCCAAAAATAATTTTTAAGACCGGTAATATTTAAATATAGTAAAGCCACACATTGTTCTTATTATTAAAAAAAAACCCAAAAAAATTTTTTTTAACCGGTAATATCAAATATAGTCAATATGTTCTATGAAATAAATAATTGTCAATCAGAGTCTTGAGATTAATTGATTGTCATTAAAATGGAAATGATTGTGCATTCGTATATTGGAAAGGGAAGTCAAAAGATAATCAGAAAATTTTAATGCTATTCCAAATATGTAACTTGACTCAAAAAAAAAGAATGTGTTAAAAATTTACACTTTAGTGACGCAATTACTTTAAGAAACTGACTGACAATTATTAATTTCATAGAACATAATGCATTGCATTATTCAATAATAATGTATTATTCTATTTTATTACTTTTATTATATGTTATTGATTATCGGTAATCATATTCTTTACAAATTATTATTTTTTTTTAAAATAAAAAATTCTAATTGTCTTCTATTATTATTTTAAATATTAATCTTGATACTTTTCTAACAGAATTAATTCTATTGCACTAGATCTGTTTTGTTTTGTCATATATAAATAAATAAAAAATTAATGTTAATGAATTACAATATATTGATTGATCAAAATTAGTAATCAATTTCTATGGCCCGTAATATACTGTATATATTAATATATTTAAATAATCAAATACAATTGAAATATACAATTTATTAATAAATAATTTCTAATCAATAAAATTACATCTTTTTTTAATAAATGAGAAAAATAAAAATACCTTTTGTTTCCTAATTAATTTAGTATCATAACTATCCGATGGATTATCAGTTTTCACATGCTACCGTTTAGCAGACAAATTTTCCTGCCCGACTATCCATCAGATAAATAATGAAATCATAAACTATCTAATGTAATTTATATTGATGAGCATGATAAAAAATGATTTTATCATATAATTATAGTAAATAGTGAGAATATTATAGAAAAACTTTTGATATAAATGTAATAACATGATAATATATAATTATTCTAATACCAAAAATAAATTTTGGACATAGGATTCGCAAAAAAAAAATTTTTTTGTTAACAATTATTGATTATAATAATTGGCTATTATTAACTAAATCATAATTATTAAATTAGGGGGTTGGGCTAAGCTGAAAAACAACTGATTATACTGGTCAAAAATGGATTTAGGACATGGGTTTCGCTAAAAAAAACTTTTTGCTAATAATTATTGATTATTTTTCTGATGTAATCATTAGTTATTATTAATAATTAGTGTGATGTACTCAAGCTGCTAAATTTCTAAATTTGGCTAATGTATTTTTTTTCAACCAAGACAAAGTATAAGAAATATAAAGCATATGCGATTACTTTTTTATTATAATATTAAAGTAATAAAATATTTATTATATTGCATAAAAATTTAAAAATTCAAATGATTTTTAAATTATTAAATCCATTAGAATAAATTCATAACGACAATACAGAAGGTATATTTTATATTATATTTTATTTTTAACAAAAAAATTAGAATAATAAATGAATAAATAATTTAATGTTAAAAGATGATGATAATGTTAATGATAATGATCAAGGAGATGATAGGATGATAGCGTCATGTAAATAACTTTTATCAAGAATATTAAATATCATTTATTTTTTTTTATATTTTAATATTTATTTTTCATTTTTACAGTTAACTTTTTATTAAATTAAATAAGAATTATTGTCAATCATGATCTAAAAATGTCATTTAAATATTTTACTTGATTTATTCTATCTATCGTAATAGTCGTATGGTCTTTTCGTTACACTTTTATTAATATAATCTTTTTATATTATGTTATAATTGTAATAGGAAATATCTATAGATTTCTTTAATATAAAATTTATGTCATGTATTCAATCACTTCAATTAATTTATAATTAAATCTTTTTTTATTTCTGTGAAAAAAAAAGGTATTATTTTTACTTTTATTTATTACTAGTTATCTCATATTATTAATTTTTTATTATTATTACTATATACTACTTATTATTATTTAAGAAATGCAATTGAAACAAGTACAACAGATAAGATATATAATAGAAATTTATTAAAATTTATAAGAAAAAAAAAGAAAAAGAATAAAAGATATATGCAAGAAATAAAAAAAATATAAACAAATTAAAAAAAAAAAAAGATATTTATATGATATAATTAAAAGCAAAGATATATTTGATATAAAAAAAAAAATAAGTTCAATTCGCCTAAAAAAAAAGAGATATACAGTATATGAAAATGAATTAGAGACTGAAAAAAAAGAGAAAAAATTGCATATGTCATAAATTAATAGACTAACTTGATTTTCCAATTTATTATTGATTGTTTTCAAAGAACATTTTGTATTCGAAGCTCACATTTTTAATCGTATCCTTTAAATTCTTCATTGCCGCATCCAATTTCTTATGATCACTTTTTCTGGTCTCCAATTCCTTAATTCGAGCCATTAACTTGGCATTTGTTGTCTCCAATTCTTGGTTGCGTACACTTAATTCAACATTTTTAGCTTCTAATTTTCGAATTCGAGACTCATAAGTCTGTAGAAGTAAAAGTTTACGAATAATTATGAAATAGTTAGAAATATTATAAAAAAAATTATAAAGTGTTATCTAAAGAGACAAATTAAATATATTACATTTTTGGTTTTACTTTTATCAGAAATTATTGTCTTAGATAAAAGTCGTGAAAATGAGATTTCTGAAAATCTGCTTGATGAATTCATATCTATAATCATGAAAGAAAATAAAAGTTTATTAAAAATATTTAAAAATATATGAAAATAAAAATTATGTGTTAATAATTAACCTGTTTAATAAAATTTGAAAATTCGAAGTTTGAAATTTGAAAAAAATAATTGGGGGGAGGGATTATTTTATACTTTTTCATATCATAAGAAATCAAGGAGGTATTTTGAGATCAGTATGTAAAAAATAGGAATAAAAAAAAATAAACAAGTGTAAAATTAATAATAATAATTGCCTTCATTATTGAAAACGCCAATTATGGTTAGATTTACAATATCTATAAATTTTTATAAAAAATTTAATCGAAATGAAAACTGATTATTAGTCTGATGTAATTCTTATCGTTATTATTATTAATAATTAGTCTGATGTACTCAAGCTGCTAAATTGCTAAATTTGGCTAATGTATTTTTTTTTTCAGCTGAAACAAAGTATTAGAAATATAAAGCATATGAAATGACTTTTTTATTATAATATTACAGTAATAAAATATTTTTTGATACAAACAAAAAAGGGGAATAGAAAAGATTTGCGAAAAAAAAATTCAATCGAAAAAAAAATACTTTATTTCAAAAAATGTTCGATTCATTATTATTTTAAAATTTTGAAACGAATTTAAAATGGTTTCATCAAGAAACAATCCCAACAACAACTATCCCAACAAAAAAAAACAACAACAGCCATCTCAACAGAAACAACGGCAATCAACGGAAGGTATAAAGGATTATTATTCGAATTCAAATTTTTGATTTTTTTTTTTTATTTCTTTCACTCATTTCAATTCTTTTATAGCTGATAACAAAAATATGAATATGAATATAATTATAATAGCAATGGTATTAATATTCTAATAGCAATGATATTGATAATACTAATAATAATATTGATATTAATAATATTTTTTTTTCAAAAAATTTAAATTGATACTAATTTATTTTTTAATTAGGTGACGATGGAGATGATAGCGTTGCCGTTGCCGTTGATAACTATTGCGGAATGAGTCAAATACTTTAAATTGGAGAGCTGACGGTGATCGACAAATAATGTGACTTGAGATGATACATTATCATGATGATCATATTTAATTATTATCCAATGATATCAGTATTCACTTTTCGATTATTCTTTGTTGTTTTTATGTGAGGGAGCCTCGATTTCAAAGAATTCAACCGCCACTTTTTTCTACCTTATTGATTTTTTTCCTATCTACTTGCTAGTTTATTTGTCTCTAATCAATATTTGCATCATTTAGAACTATATTTATTTATATTTTCTAGCAAAACTATTCATTCCTATAAGAGATTATGCGATTGCGAGAATCCTTATGTTTCTTCAAATCTTTTTGAATTAACATTATCAAAGAAAGCCTACTTCTAGATGTTGTTTTAAGATTAATAAGTCAACATCAGCAAACAAATCTAAATTTGAAGATAATACTATGGATATTGAATCGAATTTATAATGGGGCAATTCATATTTGAAAACTTAATGAGACGCGAAGCAAGATACCAATATGGTTGGATTTACTTGTCATGTGCACTAACAACGGAGTAAATATTCTTAATCATCGTGGTAATGAATAATCAACAATTTAGACCAGGGTAATTATCATTTATTTATTTTATAAACAATTCTTTCTTATATATATATATTCTGCTTTTATAACAAGTAAAGTTGTTCAGGATTTGCTCTTTGTTATCTTCTATCATTTTTAATAAATTTTATTTTTTTAAGGTTCAGTCATGTATACAACTCTCAAGCAACAATATTCTTTTATTCCACATGAAGGATCATGTAATTTGAGACAAAAAAGTCATACATGGTGCATAGACAAAAAAATAGAATTTCTATGCATTCTAATTTTCTGGAAGATATTGAGAATTCTCCAAAATAAGCATGTCTTCGTACTATTATTTTTATTAATGATTTTACTAATAACTACATTTTATATTTTAATATTTTCTACCAATGATAATTTTTGTTTCTACTATTTTATTAATGATTCAATTATATCACTACACTATTTTACAAATTATTTTCTATCTATAAAAATTTTTTCATTAATTATTATAATTCTCTTTAATGCTAATGATTTTTTTACAAACGATTCTAATACTAACATTCTACATTTTTTATTAAGGATTTTATTAATATTTTATACTAACGAATGATTCTTTCATGATTATTTCTCCTGATGCACTTCTTGTATTGAACAGAAAGATTTATGAAGAATTTGAGAAAGAAACTATTGACTTTTCATAATATTAACTGATGGCAAGAATATTATCAATCTATTCACCTGTGAAAAGGCGCCAAACTCATTTTTTATTTCTTTTAATCTTCAATGAAGGTGAACAAAATAAGACAATCAACAAATTCCTGATGAGGAATAAATGATAAAGCTCATTTGAGGAGGAGGAGATGATCAAGATTAATAAGATTACGGCAAACAATTTGATACTATGAGTATTGTAGATTATTTTTTAAAACTACCATCAATGTTGGAAGTTTGTGAAACAATTGAGGTATGTTAAAAATAAATCAATTTATAAATTATAAATAAGTTCGCTTTATTTTATAAATATAATTTCTATTTAAACTTAATAAGATGCAGGATAGCTAATAAGATCAGTTTTACTTGCGATTTGCAGGCAACAAAATCAAACAAGATGTGGATACTCTTAATTATCATGGTAATGAATGCATTCAACAATCTGAATGATATGGCAATGATAATTATTTCTGATTCAATTTTATTATTATTCATATATACTATATACAGAATATAATATATTTTAAAAATAATTCTCTCTTATATATATATTTTGTTTTCAAGGTTCAACATTTTCCAATGCCCACACTTAATATCATCCCTCACCCATGTAGTTTCTTTCATTCCACATGAAGGATCCTGGAATTTGAGATACAAAAGTCGCACAAGGGTTCTGGTCGATGTTACTTTTGGATCTGATACTTGTGATTACCTGACAAGATAATGGAATGGTATGAACTATATAATATTTCAAAAGTTTATATTACAGTAATGTTTGAGAATTGTGCATGTAATGTAATAACCATTTTTTAAAATCATATTATTACATGTATTCTAAATATCAGGGAGATGATTAGAATCTCTTAAATAAGCATGGCTTCATACCTGTAATGCAGCTAAAGCACAACGATCTTTTTTTGAAAAGAGATTGAAATATCCATCCGCAATTTTTTTGTATATCAACAATTTTTTTTTTTGAGATTTAATATTTGTTAATAATGATTATTATTAATGATTCGATTATATCACTATTTTATTTTCTATATATAACAAATTTTCGCATAATATTAATGATTTCTGATTATTTTAATTCTCTTCAATACTGCCAGTTTGGTTTTATACTAAAATTTTTTTTTACTAATTATTTTTCCAATACTAACGGTTTTTGTAATTCTTCTATTTCTTATTTCTATTCAATTTGAATTCTTTTATTTATTTTCACTAATAATCTACTATTTCATTTCTGACGTTTTGGGTTTCATTTATTTCTATTAACATTTATTCTATTAATATTTATTTTCTTTACATTTCATTTCTATTACTAATGATTTCTGTTTAAGCAATTTCCTACAAACAATTCTTTTCTACTAACAATTCTTTCTATTGATTATTCTTTTCTTTTTCTAATAATTTAATGACCATTTTTTGCTGACATTAATTAAAATATTATTATTACTAGCATTGATTTTATGCATTAATCTTTGATCAAAGAGTCAATTTTATTTTCAATGGGGAGTATTTCTTATTTAAAATTATTTACACCACATATTACTTTTATTTAACAATTCTCAAACACTATTATTTTTTGATATTTATAATATACTAAATACAATAATCAAGTAGGATTCTTTGCATTAAAAGTAATAGGTCTATGCATAAAACATTTGGAAGATTGAGAAATTTATTTTTGCTTGGACTATTTTTTAGGTAAGTTTGATGCATCTGAAAAATTAGATTTGAAGTTTATTTTAACAACATTTGAAGAGCTAAATTATAAGATTTGGAAAATTGATTGAAGAATTGAAATCAATTCTCAATGGATTCTGATAATAACATTTATTTTTTGTTGCTATTTTTTCATTTTTTTATTCTTTATTCTTTAAAAAATAAATAGATAATGAAATAAGAATATTCAAACTGACATAAAGATTTGGATGATTGAAACAGTTGATACTGAAAAACAATCGAAGAACCATTCATTATTTTTTGAGCATTAACTTGGTCATGTAATTGGTGAACCTCGATTAAAAGAGAATGTTTGGGTAAAGGATTATATGTTCATTCCAATTTTTTTTTGAAATAACACAAGAAAATATTTTCATTATGACATGAATATTACTCCTGATGAACCTCTTGTATCGAACAAAAAGATTTATGAAGAATTTGAGAAAAAAAAAACATTGATTCTTCATGATATTAGATAATAGTGTCAATCTTATTTACCTGAGAAAAGGCACCGAACTCAGTTTTATTTGGAAAGAATAAGTCAGTAATCAAATTCCTGAGGAGAAATGATTGATAAAGCTCATTTATCGAGGAGACGCTGATCAAGATTAATAAGATTACTGCAACACCAGAAAATCAACCTAAATTTGATAATACTACGAATATTGCAGATTACTTTATTAAACTTGTGATCAAGGTACAATAAAAATAAATCAATTTATAATAATTATTTTATTTTTTATTTGATATTGAAATGAATATAATTTATATTTAAAATGGAGCAGCAACAACTTAATAAGGATCAGGAAGGCTGGTATTATCAGATTTACTTGCCATTTGCAAGCCAACATAATCAGGTAAGACGTGGATATTCTTAATTATTATGGTAATGAATGCATTCAACAATCTGAATCCCTATTTTACAAATTAATGTTTTCTAATTAATATAATTCTCTTTAATACTAACGATTTTAGTTTTATACTAATTTTTTTTTTTTACTAATGATTTCACTATTAGCATTTCTACATGTTAATAATGATTTTATTTATATTTTATTTACGCTAGCGAATGATTCATTAATATTGTTGCTTAATCTAGTTTATACTATGCAAAATTTAATACTAACATTTTTATTTGTTGTTAACATTTCTATTTCTTATTTCTATTAATTTGAAATAACGATCATCTTTTTGTTAATACTATCGATTTCTTTCGTAAATATTAATTTTTACTAATAATCTACTATTTTATATCTAATGATTTTGGTATCTTTTATTTCTATGATAATAATTTCTACTACTAACATTTATTTCTACTAATATTTATTTCCCTTAACATTTTATTTCTATTACCAATGATTTCTATTTTAGCGATTCCCTACAAACGATTCTGGTTTCTAAAATCTATTTTTTTAAAAGATAATGATTTCCATTTTTACTAACATTTACTTTCATTATTATTATTTCTAGTGTTGATTTTATTTATTGTCCTTTGATCAAAGATTCAATTTTTGTTTCGATATGTCCTTGGTGAGTATTTAATATTTAGAACCATTATGTTATATATTACTTTTATTTATTATTAGTTTTCAAATACTAACATTCTTTGATATTTACAGCTTACTTATATTAGATATAATAATTGAACAGAATTCTCTGGTATAAATAGTATTAAGTGTATAGGCGCATAGTCGAATTAATCATTTAATGAATATACTAATGCCAATATTATAGATTTTTGTAATTTTATAATTGTATCCTTAATAATTTTATTGTTTTGTTCACATTTTATATTTTTACAATTATTCTGTGGTCAAGGTGACCTCTTTGGTAATCGATTTCTTAGTACGAAACTTTTTTGCTTTCCTTTATTTTATTACTCCCTTTTCTTTTATTTTTTCTAATAATGTTTTTATTTTGTAGATTATTATTTATCACATTATTGTTTTATTCTCTCATACATAAATTTTATTTTTATTGTTACCATCCTTATTGTTTCATTATTGAAATTCATCCTTCGGAAATCTGCCTCCACTTGAACAATATTCTTTTTGTATTCTTTTATTCTCATTTTTTATCTGTTGAAACATTATTATTATCGTATTTACTCTTTGGGTAAGAACTTTTAATTTTACTTATATTTTTATATGAATGCTCAAGGATATGAGGTAAGTTAAGTTAAAGTGCTATTTTTTATAATCGAAATCAATGAATTAATAATTTAGAATTAATTTCTTTGACGTTCTATACTTTTCTTTGAACGATATTCCATTTCTTTGAATGATGTATCAAAATAAGAACAAATTTCATTATATCATGTCAAATAAAATGTAAAAACTATTTAATAAATTATTGTACTAACTCGTTCACTTTCCCAGATTTTAGCTTGATGAACAAGCGAAAATAATAGAAAACAAGACAGTGATATAGAAAACAATTGTAGCAATCCAGAGATTACAACAAATACTTGTGATTTCATTATTCAAGATTAAAAATGTGTGCGTTTAATTTTCTAATTACATTTAATATGCTATGATCTCTTATTCTACTATTAAAATATGGGTTAATATTCTACATGAGATTGATAAGCGACAATAGATATTCAATTAATACTAAGTACCTGACTGGTCATTTCGATTCTTGACAGTTCAATAATTTAATACATGAAGTGTCAATTAATTAATTATTTATAACTTCCCATTAATGTTAGAATCGAATTCAAAGGTTGTAACAAATAATAATCATGGAATCAAAGCAGTCAGAATATGAAAATCCTGGTAATAAAGATAATTAAATTTCATGTAATATTTATTAATATAAGAAATGTAATAGAACATATAAGATAAATAAATCATAATATAAAAATATAAAATAAACGAAATTAAGAATCCCTCTCTCCACCACTTCTATCGCATATCGCTTCCTTTGCTTCTATAAGAGGCTTAAAAAAATAAATATAAATTACTACATTTTATTTAAATATGATAGAGATATATTCCTGATGTCAATCTCAACTCATGACTTATGTAATATAGATTGATAGATCACAGTACAAAGTTATTTTATTTAAATTCTTATATATTGATTTTTGATTTTATAGTCTTATAGTTAAAACAATAGTCACCTTTGATTACGATTACATCTTCTCATTTAAAATTATTTGATTTAGTTTAAATCTAAAAACTTGAAAAAAAAACTGAGAATATAACTCTTAAAATACGAGTTGCAGTACAGAGATAGAAAAAGGAAAAGAGTGTTAGTTTGAATAGTTTAGTAGTTTTTTATTATTATCCTCATATTTATTAAATAGAAACTTATGTAAAGTTTATTGTATAAATTAATTAAATAGAAAAAAACTTATAGTTAAAATCACGTCTCATGATTCATGAGTCATCTTTTTATTATAAAAAAATGAGAATCATATGATTACTTTATATTATTGGACAAAAAAATGCATCTATCAAAAATATATAAATACCCCCCAAAAAATTTTTATTCCAAAAAAAAAAAGTTTATCTAATAAACATAATTTTCTTTGATAACAAATTAAAATTTTCTAAAAATTTATTTTATAATATTAATTACAATGAATACAACTACTAAAACTAACAACGCGGGCCACTCTAACATAACTCTCCGAAGGGATAGGAGCAGCAGAAAAATTAATACAACAAGCGAAGCTGAAAGAAATGGTGAAAGTTCATCATTAGGAAAAAGAAAGGCTGTCGAAGACGAAGATACCAAAGGAAAAAAGAAGGCTACCAAAAAAAGAAAAGGAGTGGAGAGAAGAGCAGCAAGATACATAAAAGATTGTAGTGATGTTAGTATAGATTAATATGATTTAATTCGAATAAGACTTGTATATACTTTTATATGTATTTATATCTAATATAAGTATATATTTTTATTTTATTTATCACAGGACACAAAAAAACAAATCGAAAGAGCTGTGAAGGAACCTATGTACTTGATTGACTGTAAAGAAGTCAATCCAACGCAAAGAAAATATGTAGTCTTAGGCCCGACTGGAGAGGTATGTAGAAAAATTAATTATATCACAAAGTTTTTCCATTAATAATATTTAACATCTTTACTTCTTTAGGTTTATACTACTGATATAGCAAAAATTGTATCGTGCTCCTGCCCTGATTTCCATAATGGTAAAATAACTTCCTTTAATAATTTCATGTGACAAAAAATTCTCATTTTAAAACTATTTTATGTACTAATCATAATGTTTATTTTGTATTAACTATTAGGTATTCACTGTAAACATATTGTAAGTTAAAAATTTTAGATAATCTTTGTATCTATATTCTAATATTGCATCTATGTATTAATACTTTTATATTTCAATATTAGCTCTTTATTCTTTTAAGAATTTTGAAGGTTCATCCAGAAAGCGATCTCGTCTATCAAAAAGCACTAAAAGAAAAGGAATTGAAATTAATTTTCAATAATTCCCCTCAAATTACTTATGTATAAAAATTTTATTCAATGTTTGTATAGATTTGTGATTTATTTTTTGAAAAATTATTAATCATTTATTTTTTTCTTGATGAACAGCCAAGCAAAGGGATTGTTGATCAACTTAAAGCAATCGCCTCAAGAGACCAAAAAAAGCGTAAACCGATAGATGATGATTGTTCATGCTGGTATGTTTTATCTCTAAAATATTATTGAATATTAATCAAATTACTAAATTAATCAATCAATCAAATCTATTATATTAGTCATGAACCTTTGGGCAACCAAAAAGTTTTAATTTGGTGTGATGCTTGCGGAAACAACATACACCTAGATTGTTTCACTACTTGGGAAAGATCATTACGCGTAGAACAAAAAGTAAAATAATAATGATATGAATTTTTTAATTCTTTTCCATTATTTGTTTATTTATTGATATTCATTTTTTAATTTATATTTTTTTACAAAAAAAGGTCACATGTGTAATTTGCCGGGCCGAATGGAGATATTCTCACCTAAACTTTTGAGTAAGTACCTAATATTTTTTATCATTTTAAAAAAAATTAAAATGCTGAATTTATTTGTATTATTGAATTTTTCTAATACCAGGATCAACATCATCTTTTCGATAATTTTCTGTCCATTTATTTTTTTATTGGGATACCGAAATGTAAATTTATATTAATTAAAAAAGAAATAATAATCTATTTTATTTTTATTATATATAAAATTTATTTCTAAATATGTGTTTTTTTTTACTTTTCTAATAAATCCTAACATATAATTTACTAAATGTCATAAATTGATTTTTAATGATTTCTTTTCTCTTTAAAATATGATCGAGTAAATTATAGATCAACAAGATAAATCTATACATATATTTAAATGAAGCAAACATTCGATTATCATTTAATTAAATTAGTTATAAGATTTATTTAAGAGATATTACAAAAAAAAATAAAATAAAACGCATATTTAATCTACGAATTCACCGAATGATAATTGAAACAGTAGGCCAATCAAAATTATTACAGTAAACTACATTGATTAAATTAAATGGTATCATATAATTTCTTGGTATGAAATTTGTGAAGAAAGATAATAATTAATTTTTTTATAGATCAAAAATTTTTGCAATTCGTTAAATCAATTGAAAATTATATCAGACCAGATGCAATATTTATCCATATAAAAAGTACGTAGTTAGAGAAGTAAATTTTTATATACGCGTTATTTTTTTTTTTTGATTTTTTTTTTCTTTTGTTGTATTTATTAACTAATTTCTAAAAATATTCGCAACATTATTTTTTTAAATCTAATTAATTTTTTCTTGATTTTTTTTTGTTTAATGTAATATAATAAATTATTAATAAATACAAAAATATAGATATAAGATTGATTATGTCATTATTGTAAATTATGATTTATATTAATATGTGTAATGTATTAAGATTTATATTGATACTAGCGTGGGGCCTGTGCCAAAGGTTCGGGATTATTTTGCTTTTTTATTGCAATAGTTTTTTTATTAGGGGGTATTTTTGTTATAAAAAGTTTTTTATTTTTAGATATCGAGTTATATGTTTGTATTACATATTTGTTTGTATGTAAAAAATACTTTTTGTAGTTTTTTTTTTAGATATAAATTTGCTGAAGGATCTGTATTGGTTAAGTATTTTCAGTTTTTGATACAGATATACGTGTATATGTTGTGTCTCAGATTAACACTTGCGTCAGGTTAAAACTGGCCAAAATTAAGGTAGGGTTAGGGTGAAATTAAAAGGATCAACATAGGTTGGTTTTATAATTCTGGTCAATGGGTGACACCTGACGTACCTCAGTGGTGATTTGACGCAAAAAGTCGATCTGAGGTACAACATATATATGTACAGTATATATAATTTGTTGGTAATTGTTAAAAAAAAAATTTAGTTTTATGATACTGTGTTATACTGATACTAGTCAAGTTAGCTCTTCACACCAAAAAAGAAGGATACTGGGTTGTTGGAAGTGTGAGCTATCAGTTTTATCCCATTGAACACGAGGAAAATGAAATTGAGATGGTGTTGTTTGTGCCCCTCGAGTCAATTAAAAGAGATTTTGAGACAGGCAATTTTTGAGAATGATAGTTTTTATTCTGTCAGTGGTAGAATAGTGCCTACATATTACAGGGAAAATAAGTGGCCAAAGGTTTGTTTGAAGAAAATAATTATGTTTCATAGATCGTTTGTACTATAATTTGTATTCTGAATTTGTACTTATTTTTTTTAGATGACAGTTGTGATTTCGGCATGTGTAACAACTCTCAGCAAAGTTTCTAATTCAAATAAGTGTCCATTAAAAGTCTCCTTGATAGGTGTTCCTCAAGAAATGCCATGCACAGTTGGAACTGATGAAAATGTCATTTTTAATGTATTGGTTAACAACTATGCCAGCCAAGAATGTAATTTTATTGTTAGAGTCACATATCTGTATTTCAATTCTCGATTTTCAAGCCTGATGACCATGATTTGACTGTTAAATTCCTTTGTCTTTGTTGTTGAACAAATGAAATTGATTGTCAATGAATTCTATATTTTATTCAAAAGATATCAATTATGTCAATGATGCTTTTTTTTCTTTTAAACAAAAAGTTTTTGATGACAATAGTTCTTCTGAGATTGCTAATTTGACCAGGTCCAAACTTCTTTTTACTTATAAGAATATTACTGAAAATCCAAAGGAAACTTCTAAAGGAAAGGACAGATCGATTTAATATTGGGTAATGTTTTGTTGAAATATGATACAGATGGATATACAGATAATATTAATAATAAAGATTTTTTTACAAATGAAGTTAATAACATAAGTACTATTTATAATGACAGAACTGATGAGTTAACATAAAGTAAAAAAAAATGTAAGAATTTTGTAAGTGTTAAAAAAGAAAAAGAACCAGTCAGTCAGTCTTTATGTAGTGGTTTGAGATCCACTGCTGGTGTTATTAACAATAAAAAGTAGTAAATTTTTTTTTTTGTAATGTAAAATGTTGTTAAATAAAGTTTTTGGTCATAATATTTGAATTAATTCATAATCAAATTATTAATCAGCAAAATCAAATATACATTTAATTAATTGATCACTTTTAATTATTTGCTAACAATAACTTTATATTTAATAAGTTTTTTTTTGTTATTTACATTGCATGTATATAATTGAGTTTCATGTTTCCTGTCATTTTATTAAACTTGCTGATATAGTTTTATAAAAAGTATTTATTAAGTAAATTGGATAAATTTTTTTATGTCACTTATATTTTATATATATAATCGAGTAAAACATTTTTCTGTCAATTTTTTTTTAAATTTGCAGTTCATATATTTCATATTTCAAATTAAAGCTTCCTTGTATACTATATTTTTAGTATAAGCACTATCCAAATCTTGTATTTTATCATTTTTAACCCAAATTTTACAATTTCATCTCTCTCTTACTCTTGACATCACAACATAAAGTTGCCTGTGAGAAAAAACTAACCTTGATAATATATTCCAATATGAGATAGTGTTTGACCTTGTGACTTGTTGATAGTTAGAGCTAATGCAAATTGTACCAGAAATTATTTTCTTTTCAATACAAAAGGTAATCCTGAATTTGTTAAAGAAAAAAGTGATATCCTAAACAAGAACACTTGTTTCTGCTGGTAATTACCAGTTATAATTTCAGCAGCGATTATTTGACATCCAAGATAATAGTGGCACCACTGAGCAGAGTATTTTGAACAATTTCTCAAATCAGTCTCAAAGTTTGCATCACACAAACATAATAATACATTCTATCTGCCAGTAGGTCACAGCTAATACAATTGATTTAACTGGCCTATCTCAAAACAGATAATAAATATATAATAAATAATAATAATAATCAAACAATAATTAATTAATCATGAAGGCACAATGAGTAAGGTGAAGTAAAAGTAGTTAACACAATATTAAACAATATTTAATAATATTTTGCGATATTACAGAACAAGATATAGGTTTATTAAAATATAAAATATAAAGTTTTTAAAGTAAAGTATAATTCAGTGACAGAAATATTATCATGTGTTAGGATGTCTATTTTACCATTCCTGAAGTAAGTTTACTTTTTTATCTAATAATAATTAAAATATTTTGATATATTTTGTAATATTAAGTAATAATAAATTAACTAATAACTATTTATAAATTCTGATCACTACTAAAACTTACACCCGACAATGGTTATATTTATACTTTCTCTTTTGTTTATACTTCATCCTTCATCCTTGTATGGTCATCTCACGTAAGGTAACAATTGCCTGAATGTTTATCTAGTAATACAAATTATCATCTCCATGACATTTCACCTAATTATCAATTTGAATTGCCACAAACATTTTCTCCTTCAAAGGGAGCTCCTACAATCCAGCATCCATTTCTAAAAGATCTTCTATTAATTGTGTACCCATTGTTTTGCATAGTTACAGAAACCTTTTGAACTCTGATTTAGATAACTTATAGATCCAATCTGACATAACACTTCGAAAGTTTCTGGCATATGGCATTCCTATCTTCCAGAATAATAATTGTACTCATGTTGCTATTTGTAAATTCATGATCCATTTTGATGAGATCGTTCATGTATTTCTCTTTTTAATGCCATCAAGTTACTTCTTAATAAGACATCTTTCAAGCTTCTTATATGCATTCATTCTTTGATCATTTGTATCATGTATATCCATAACTATTCACAAAAGACCATCCAAATCATGATCGATAGCTTGATCTGATTCTTCTAGGGCTATAAAAATATCCATCACAAAAATCATTAATGTATTGTTATACTGCATTATAATTTTATTATTAGCAAGTTGATTAATTTCTGTTATGACATTTTTTGTTATCAAGTATACACCAGTATTGTCTATAATAATTTGTACTTCACCTAAAGTTTGCGAAAATTCTTTATATAATTCATAAACTCTCTTCCGTAAACTATTTGAAATTAAAATTTATTCATCTTAAAAAGAAAAATTTTGAAAAATTTTTAGGAATTTTCGCAATCTTATAAATTCTTTTAAACAAGTCTATTGTATACCCGTTATCTCATATGGAATGATAACCACTTCGTTTATATGATTTCAATCAATTACCATATATAGATTGACTATTGAAAACTTCTTCACTATTAATTCTTAATATATATGAGCCATTATCAAGAATTCTATGAATAAAGAAAGGACCAGACCATCTGTCTCAAAACTTATCACCATGAACATTCTATAAATCAGATCTGTACTCTAGTACCATATTACCAATATTGTATGTTATTGTTTAAATTTTCCTATCATGAGTTGTCTTTTGCCATTTCTGTGTATCTTTGAT